CATTCTCACACAAGCACAAACTCACACATTTCTCCTACTCCTCTACCCACAGCTGCACACCCTTCTCCTTTGATAGTGATAATCTCTTTGTCAGGAGCCGTCTGTTGAAGATTTGTCCGTCTCATTCAGTGAATGTCCGAATGGCAGGTCGGGCTGTAGTGCCACAGGGTGTCCAAGGCTGTCTGTCACTACATATGTGTGTGTGTGTGTGTGTGTGTGTGTGCTTCTGGTGACATAGGTGGTGGGATCTCAGCCCTGTCAGAGTCTGTATGTTACTTGTCTTCGGTTGTCTGCTTTGTGAAGAAGGAGGAATGTTGAACATGATGAAAAACAGCTTTATTTGCATCAGACGTTGTAATTTGAATTTAATAACACGTGTACTGATACTTGTTCTGTGTGCCTGCACTCATACTTGTCTTTCCTCATCTTCACGACAGCTTAATCAGATGTTTGTCATGTGTTATCCACTCTGCATTTCAAATGAGATGCTTTTTATACTCACTTTGTGCTTGTTAAATACTGTTGGAAATGTCCCTCCACCACATGGCCTTGCTTATCAATAATCATTGTTTATGTAAAAAAAAAAAAAAAAAAAGTTATTTTAATTACATTTTCCTTATTATTTGCATGTTTTGGATAATATTCCTCTTTCCTTGCTTAAAGGTATAGTGGAGGATTTTCGCAAAGTCAAAACTAAATAAAATGTACTTCTATAAGTCTGTTACAGAAACAATTTCCATAGACCCAAACACCAAGCAAGCTTAACTAAACAATATTAATCTCTTTCTGCTTTTGGATAAAAAAACAACATAAATCTCAAATAATTATAAGTTCATTCAGCTTACTGGAAAAAGTTGAACTCACTATTACCCTCTTAACAAAAGTAGCCTGCTTTATTGAAAAAAACAGCACCATAATGCATTTCTTCATTTGATAAAGTTTAATATAACTTGTAGTTTTTAACTTACTTAAAACACCAGAGAGAAAATTGACAGATATGCAGCAAGGATTCCCAGTTTGAGAGTTGAACTGCATTAGTGACACCCAGCTTCCGCTTAATTTATGTAGTGTATAAATTAGTTTTTATTTTCAACATCAATTATCATCGCAAATACAGAAAATCTGAATGCAGGGTATGTGATACTGCAATAAGAAAAAAAAAAAAAAATGAGCAACTTAAAGGTCAACCATCAAAGAGGAGTAGGTTTCCCTGAACAAGATCACCTTTAAGAAGTTTTACGATTATAAAATATTCTGGAGCTAGATTTCCCTAGCCAAATTAAGAGCAGATTACCTCTAAAATTAATATCTAGTAGCTATGTTGCCTTTCAAAAGCTGGGATATTTAGAATTAAATTTTGCATCTGGGAAAATACTGGTTAATAAAAAATTAATAATCCTTACTTTTACTTTCTGTTAAAAATAAAAGATAGAAGCACAAAGTTCAAATGTTTGTTTAGCTCATAGCTAAATATTATTGTAAGAAATAATTTCTAGACTTTTTATCCTTGAAAAAAAAAAAACAGCACGTTGAATAATTAGCCAGTGCTTGTTAGGCTGCGACATTCAATTTGCCAGAAATGAAATTAAATATGAATGGTTGTGGTTGTAAAATACAGTTGTAAAATTTAAATAAGACTGACACATATATGAATTCAAGTATCAGAAAAAAAAATGGCCCCCAGAAGAGTGCAATGCAAAGTAATTTGTTTATTGTTGGAAGGTTCATGGTTCTACAAATCTGTTAATTTTTATCAGATCGCTAGAAATGAGGGATATAGAGGTAGCTGAAATAGGCTTCCAAATAAAACTGCTATTCTCATAACTACAATAAGAGTACTTCCTAATCTGGGAAGATGATACCTTCAAGTTTCACCATCTCACTTCTGTATATTGCTCAAAGTTCTCCCTTTTTGAGCTCTGATATAAATTCTGACATGGATGTAATTGTCAGGTGAGTTATTGTTTCTCAAAGCTCTTATTTCTCCTCTTTTCGCCTTTTCATCTCTCCCCTCCCGACACCTTCCCTTTGCTCTTTCTGTTGTTTGGTCTCCTCTTGTCACTCCACTGCAATCATCCTTGCAGGGGGGCTTGTCATCTGTATCTACTCATATCCTACAATCCCTTCAGTGCTGAGCACTACTGCACTTAAATGTCAGAGCTGATGAGCCTGCCACACCCACCTGACACATCAGCTCAGCGCCTGCTAAAAGCTTTTATGGAGTGAGGGCCTGGTGGTTGATATAAATTAAAGAGTTTTGTCTTGTTCGATTTTTTTAGTGGGGGTTGGGAAGGGGTGGTATAACTTGAAAATAGACAAGTTCTTGCCAGCAGATGGTAGATATAAGAGTGAGACAAGCAGAGCATTCGCTGTGACTGGTTGCCATCTAGTGGCTCTAAAAAAACTTGCTTCACAATCATGGCTGGATAAAACATTGGTGGTTTGCAAGAAACAGATAAACTGAAGATAGAAAAAGCAATGCTGACTTATGTTATAAGTAACTATTAGGGAAGCCTTTTAGGACAAAAAAAAATTGTAAGATGGAATGTGTAGTTTTCTTTTCTTTATTTATTTTTTGTTTATGTATTTAGCAGACACTTTCATCCAAAGTGACTTATAAAGTAGGCATCAGGGTGAAGGGTTTTGTCTAAGGACCCACACTGACGGCTCATTCCCCCCAGCTGGGTTTTTTACCCATGGCCTCCAATGTGTAAGTCAGTTTGGTAAGGTTATCATTTGATTGCACCTTTACAATATATATAGATAAATGCATATATGCATGGTCAGTCGGCTGACTGAGAATAGGGTAAAGCATTCTTTCTCATCAAATAAAACAAAAGATTTCATATTTTGGAACTAACTTAAAGGTACTATGTGTAATTCTTAGCAACATCTAATGGTCAGACTGCAGCTAAATGAAATGAACCGCTCCCCCAACCACTTCTCCCACCTCCAACAATATGGAGGCTGTAATGGTACAAAATGACTCCCACAATTTTGTCAGGGATGATGAAGTTTGTTTACATATATAATTTTTTTTAATTAATTTTATCAGTCTGTGTAAGATATAGATTGCATTGGCCTAACTTGCCGCAGTCACATTTAAGTGTAATGAAGGGGGCAGATAGCATTTTTGAACCAGGGGGACAGATATCAACCAATAATTTCTACACAACTTCCTTCCCACTGCATGGAGATACTACCCTATCACTATTTTTATTTGCAGTTAACGCTCTATAAAGACTGTTGTTAACGGCTGTGCTGCTGTGATGTGGTCTTAATATTATCAGCTCCCATTGTTCAACAGCTTTCTAATAAAAACAATGAGATGCTGCATGGTATCCATATTTTTTCCATTGTTTCCTGTTTCATATTGAACATAACTACTAAACACTTCTAGTAACAATTACTGTCACTATTACGTCCATAAACAATGCAGTCCTGTGTGACATCTCTTGTTATCTCTCATCCCCTTGCTCACACCTTTACTTCTATCATATTATTCACCCTGGTGAAACAGTCCAGTTAGTCTTGCAGGAAATCTGGGAAGCATAGCTGGTCACATTGCAAGTTTTTTGCTAACTGCTGTGCCTAATGAGTAATATCAGTGTATGAAGTTGTTTCTTTTCCTTTTTCTTATTTTTAGCAAGTTATTCCTGCAATCTTTGGGTTTTTAGCACCATGGATGTGTGAACAGCGGCAATGAGAGGCTTCCACAGAGTCGGGCAGAGTAAGAGACAGACTTTATCATGGTTAAGCCTAATTTAACTTGCAAGTCAATGACTGGATGCAATCAACTGGTTTTCCTTTCCAATCTGACAGTATTGCCTCTGTAAAGTGGCTTGAACTGACATGTGTTGTGAATTGGTGCTATAAATACACTGAATTGAACCTAATGTCACCTGCATGTGGCAGTACTGCAAGGGCTATAGCTTTAACTGGTCATGTAAGCCTCTAATGAAGTATTTCAACAGTTTCAAGTTCTCGACTTGTAAGGCCACTAGGTGCGATGAATTTGGGTCACTCTCCCGTCACCAGTGCCATCTGCACCCAGAAGAGTAATGGTGATCTCTATAGTCATTAGTTTATCAGCTCAGGGCTGCCATAGTGCAGATTTTTACCTCCATAAATGCGAGACCTCTTCCTATGTAATTATAAATAGCAATTTCTACCAGAACCAAAAAGACTGAGACTTTCAGTTCGTAGATGAAAACAAATAATATTCTTACGCATTATATATATATTTATATATATTTTTGAAAGAAGGTAGACAGGTAATAAGAATAGAGAAAGGGGTAAGACATGCAACAAAGGTCACCAGGGTGGGACTTGAACCTGTGATGGCCTCATTGAGGACCAAAGTCTCTGTATATAGGTCACATGCTCAACCCTTGCATACTTGTACTGTTCCTTGACTCATCAACATGCAGAGAAAAAAACAATGTAGATACCTCTGTTCAGCCTTTGGTATCCAGGGTCTTGTTTTTTAGGTCATGACCATGATTTCAGGACCATAGGTAAGGTTAGGAATGTAAATCGACAGGTAAATACATTGAGAGCTTTGGCTTTCGGCCCAGCTAATTCTCTCTTCACCACAACAGGTTGTTACAGTGCTAACATTACAGTGGCAGCTCCACCAATCCGTCTGTCTGTCTCTTGCTCCATGAGATTGACAAAAACGCTGAGATACTTGAACGTCTCCACTTGAAGCAGGAGCTCCCCTGTAATCTGAAACGGGTAAGCCACCCTGTTCCAACTGTTAACTTGGACTTAGAGGAGCTGATCTTCATCCAGGCCTCTTCACATTCAGCTGCGAACCATTCCATCACATACTGTAGGTCTTGGCGGGAGCCACCAGTACCTCATCGGCAGCAATCCTTACCCTTCCACCATGTCTGATGAGGTTTAAGAAGGAGTTATCAGTAGAGTGAAGGTCTCATTCATTGGTTTAAGTGCACTAACAAATTAGACACTTTAGTTGAACTCATTATCATTTCAAGACTTTATTTTTAAAACTTCGGGTCCTTTGCCCTGTATTTCAACGTCTGACCAGGTGCACACAGCCTGTCCAACATCTCAGTTTATTTACACTTGTATTATAAATACAAACACAAACTTAAATTTATTTTGCACCATAATTGTTGTAAAGCTGGACATATATACACACATAGATTTTTACCTCTTCCATATGGGATTTGCATAATATTATATACATCATAAATTTTACAGCTTCACCTCCAACATGGGGTATATTACACTAAATCTGAAGCACCTACCATGCAAGAATTGAATCAGGTCCATCTACATTGGTTACGGATGGGAAAAGCAATAAAACAGACATGGGACAGCATGAAAAAAATATAGAATGTACACAATCTGCAATGGGGCCTTTATGTTACCATAATTACGTTGCTTGGTTTAAGCTTCTGAAAGGCAATATTTATGTTAACTACAGAACATTAAAGTCTTCATTTCTCCTGCCATAGGGTAGAACACTGCCATTGTATAAAATAAGTCCTACTCACAACTGCATTTTATGATCATTTTTTGTAATCCTACTATGTGTTAATGCTTCTAAATCTTACACGATGTAACTAGGACTGCAGTAGGGGACACCACAAACCAACATTTAACACAATGGCTCTCAAATCTTCAGGCTTTGATATAGTAATTAAAAAACAAGTTTATCAATAGTCTCAGCAGAGGTCAAATACAATAATGGATTCTCAAGTTTGGTGATTAGGGTTTGTTGAAATGAATTGTTTTAAAGCATGATACAGCTACTGCATGCTACCCACCTATAAACCTACTTCCTGCTGGCTCATCAAAATACAGCAGCAATACATTCAACAGTAAACTTAAATCAAATAGATTCAGATACTGAAATGATGTAGACAACAATACAAACACCTAACTATGAATCATATATTAGGAAAATAAAAGTCAGTGCCTATCGCAGCACTACTCCTCTACATATGAATAGACACATATTTTTGCAGAAATCAAAGTTCCCAGAAAGTATGAGCTAAAAAAGTGAAAAAAGGTCTATTATATGGTCTTGTGGCACTGAATAGTACATTTAACTTATTTCTGTTTTCATTTTTTATTTTGTTTATAGCAAGGCAGTTCCAGTTAAGCTGGATGTATTGCACGGTGTTTGTTGCAAATAAGGTTCCGTCCTTTATAAGAGAACAAGTTTGCATTTGTTTAAACTGTACTGAAATGAGTGGGGTTGTTGTTAATGACAAGATGAGCTGTTTCCTACAACACCAAAGGGCTGTTTTTAAAAATAACTGTGACATAGCTACAGCACAGCTCAGAAATATATGAAGGCATCTGAATGTAAAAACTTGACCCTCGCCACTAAAGCCACTTCATTGTGGACAATGAAGACTTATGAATACATGCATAATTATTGTTATCACAGTGTAACATTAGCTCAGTTTGATACAGTTTGGAAATTGCACCAAAAACTAAGTAAGGAGTAAATCTTTAATCAAATTGTGCTTGTAAGAATATAGTTTTTAATATATAAGAAGAGTCTTTTTTTTTTGGTGTGGGTCCTTTAATGTGACTTAGGTTTCTCCTTCCTTTTAACATCCTAATATTGAAGTCATTCGTTTTCTTTAGGTTCAGGAGAGGTACTTGAACTACCAAGTTTTTTCATCCCTCTTCGCTGGGCCAGACTGGAGGAATGAACTGGTTCCAGAACTGGAGCAGGGGCACAGCGTTTCAAAGCAGAATATGTTGCAGAAAGCGCCCCCTGGTGGATAGAAAACATATTGTGCTTAAATGACTTAAACAATTCAGTTAAAAATCATCTTATTGATTACTGGTACATAATAGCATTATGGTTACTCTACGGTTGTTACCTTAATATCTCAATGAGCAAAACAACTACTATTGTACAACTTACATATTAAAGTCCTTTTTTATCTGTCATAATTTATGATGGAGAGGGGATCATGCAACACTTACGATCTGATAATAATTATTTCATAAATAGAGACAATCTGAGTTTATTTTGCTTTTAGGAGGAATGTTCATGTGGCCTGAAAGGACTAACTTTCTGCTAAATATAAGTGTTTTTATATAGTGTATTTTATTCACAGTAACTGCAGAAAACCTTTTAGATTCAAAATATGAACAATCTACTGTGAGGTTAGAAAAAATTAAGCTTGATTGATAAAATGTTCAAGAATCCGATAACACAAGTTAAAAACAACTAATCCAACCATGATAAATACATTAAGTTTTTGATACATGTGGTGAAAATAGTCAAATAGAACCTTTTAAGGTCCTGCAACACTATTAACATCAAGTTTTTGTGACAAAGTAAAACTATAACCAGAACCCAAAATTCAGATTTTAGATATAAAGACCTTTTCATCCAGATTCTAAAAATATCCAACACATTTTTGTGCAATAAATATTCTATTTAATATATATTCTGTTTGGAAGCATTTAAGTAAAGAATTGCTTAAATGCAAAGGAATTGAAATACTTTTACTGAACAAAACAATTTGTCTACAACCCAATGATACTTTAACTTGAAATTACTATACATTAACACAGATTACTGAAATATAGTCTGAGGTGTACGTTTTTAAGTCTTTTCTACTATCTCTGAATTTCCATATCAAGGCCCTCACATCAATCCATTTTTTTGCACAATATTTTTTCCTCCCACGCTGTTTACATTTGCTCACTGTTGCACTTTATGGAAAAGAAAATGTTCATTTACTGTCTGAAAAGCAGTACTTAATGAAATTTTGCTTTGTATACAAATAAAAGTTGTCTAAGTCTTAGTCTAAGTAATGAATTTTCATTCCACTTCTCTGAGATTTTGTTTTCTTTGGTAAAACTGGATTTTTTAACGTCAGTGTTCTGTTTTGAAATATAAATTCTAATCACTTTTCAAGTGTTTGCTTCAGTTTCATATATTATTTTACAACATAACAACCATTGGGTCATCTAATAGTAAATTCCTCAGTCTTTTCTTCATTTTTAAATGAACTACCTAGAATCCTATGTAGTATTTAGAAAAGGTATTAAGGCAATCAGTTGTTTTATTTTTTTAGGTTCTTTAATTAAAATATTTGGAAATTTTACTGAGGCAGAGATCATAGATCCTTGAAGCCAGATCGTAGAATTACATGTAGAAAGTGTCTGACCTTGACGGTGAGGGCATCCTGCCTGGCAAGAGGTCTGTCAGAGAGCTGCCCCTTCTCTACAATCCAGGGATGTCGAAGAACCTAAAGAGCATTGCAGTAAAAGTGATCATTTATTTCTAATCCATATTTATTACAAGTTGGTAGCAGAACATTATAAACAGCAAAGGACTGGGAACAGTTAAAATAGCACAATGCTCTAAAAAGAAAAAAAACTATCAATAATATAATAAATCAAGTATAGTTGGTCACACACTTATAATTTTCTGGTGAGGTCAGTTATCTGCGGCCCATCTTCTGCTGGATCTAATAAATGTTTTACATCTCCAAAATCCTTGCTTATCCAGTTTCATTTAACAGTGATCTTGTTGTTTTCTGTTACATTTATCAGGATCTGGTTTTGCTTGGTCCCTGTTCTCATTCTGGCTCCCTGACTGTCCAGTTAAGTGATTTATTTCAGTGATGTCAAATGTGAAGAGGTTTTCAAGACTGCTTCTAATAAAAATCTTTGTGGCCATTGCATTTCAGCTTTAATGAGTTCTGCTAAATACAACAGAACTGCTTCCACTAATCGCTAGCTTCCTATGAAAGTTTCCACTTGATTTATTTTATTTTTTTTTGCTCATATGCATAAAAAGCCAAACCCGGTAACTGAAATGGTAGAATAGTTTATACTAGTCCTCTGTCTGGTTAAAAGTACATGAAATTTTCTATACAAAATTAAAAAAAGGTGTTCATCCAGTTATATAGAAATGGAGAAAGATAGAAATATAACTTTATTGATCTCACAATGAAGAAATAAACTCTCTGCATTGAACCCATCCTCTTGGGGAGCAGGGGACTGCCATTGTGTGGCACCCAGGGAGCAGTGTGGGGTTAAGGGTCTTGCTCAGGAACCCATAGTGCAGGCTGTGGGGAACCGGGTACTTGCAACCTTCTCAGAGCAAAGGCGCACTGCTCTAACCCAGGGGTCGTCAACGTTTTCCAGGCCAAGGACCCCTAAACTGATGGCGAGATGGAGTGGGGACCCCCTAATTATACATATTGTATGTAATTGTTTTATCAAACTGGTCCTATAGTCACTCTATTACAGATAGAGTAATGTAACAAAAGTAATTTCGCCCTGGGGTTATTAAAGTATTTCTGATTCCTGGTTGATGGGACAGGTGTTGTGAATGAAATGGTGCCCAGCTTGAAAGAGCTCCTATGTATCGCTGAATGTTTGCATTGATGACTGAAAGACATCTTCTGCCTCCATTTATCTGTTTACTACAGTGTGTTGAACTCATGTTAACGTGCATTTAAATACATTTCAATTAGTGGAAAAAAATTGCAAGATGGAATATATAAAAAAAAGTCAAATGAACCAAAACTTTCACGACCCCATGCAGGACCTCTACGGACCCCCTAGCGGTTGCGGACCCCCTGTTGAAGACCGCTCTAACCACTAGGCCAACACTCCCTCCCAAAAAAAAAAAATGTTTGGACATTTTTTTTTCCATATATAAATGTACATAGGCCATTTTTGAGAGAATGTGAATTAAACACCCAGACTACCTAACTTTTGTTGTTTGTTTAGTGTAATTGAACAAATCCTACCTGTGGGGCCGTTAGACGCTGGTGTGGGTCCACATGGAGCATCTTTATCACAATGTCCTGGTAGACATGCACAGGTAACGAACATTTATTATTATGATTATGTGAAGGCATTAGTGCCACAATAGCAAAGGCGGATTTTAAAATTTTGTGTTTGAGAAGAGTAAGATGTAACCTTGGCAGCTTCAGACACTAAGTCCCAGTTTCCTCCTGTGATCACAACTTTCCCACTACCAATCTGGGCCAGGATCTCCTCTGCTGTGTCATTAGGGCTGCTGGCAAACGGGCTGAAACTAAAGAAGAGTGAGAAGTCGACAGTTATTTAATGATGCGCTAACTTAGCAACTAAACAGTGAAATAGACTGAATAACACTCTGGGAAATACTTTTATTTACAGTTTATAGAGACAAAAATTCAAACTTCTCCAGCAAAGAACATAAACAGCAGAGAGGAGAAGATGAATTCATCCTTGGAATGACCTTCTGTCTTATTGCCTGTACTGTTTTTGTTCCAGAGGAGATTATTTATAGCACTGCAGTAGTGGGATTATTTGCAGGGAATCATAAAAATACACAAGCTTAATGCTGACAACAGGTTGATAATTTATATTTTGAAAAGCTGACAGCTAAGGCAGTGTTATTGCTTTAAAACTTCACACCAACCCAGCTATCATTGTGTAGAGAAGGATCCCCAGGCTCCAGATGTCACAGGCTGCATCATAACCCTGTTTCCTTAAAACCTAAACAAACAAATTTTATGCAACATAGTCAGTCTTTGTGACAGGTTTCCTCATTGGAGTAAAGTTAATGAGACAGGATATGTTTTATGTCACAATGCTGAATAGTAATAAAAGTACCTCAGGAGCCATAAATGTAGCTGTGTAACATGGTGTCATCAACAGGCCATTTTCAGCTCGGAGCTGTTTGGCGAAACCAAAGTCACATATCCTGATCGATTCTGGGAGTCCAGCCTCATCAGAATAGTAGATGTTACTGGGCTTCAAGTCTCGATGAACAACCTGAAACAATAAACCAACCTCTTGTTTCTTACTGTGCTGAATATATGAATACTTCTAAAGGATCTTCTTATAATACAACCTTCATTGTATGCATACAGCACTCTCCATAATTATTAACAGTGTAGATAAATATCTTACCCCTCTACCAGCCTTTATGGTCACACTTGCAGTAGTTTTAACCATTCAGTTTAAATTGATTATTAGATACTTTGATCAACATAAAAGTATAAATTAGCATAATTTTCACATATACTAATTGTACTTAAAGGTATAGAGGACGATCTTTTATTTCCAGGTGGATCATCTAAATAAGTGGTCCCCTTAATAGCCAATCATTCTGCTGATATGTTTACGTAAGGCCGTCCTACGTGCTCGTCCAATTAGCTATATTTTTCTGCGCAAAAAGCAGTGATCATCTGTCCGAATGGTCAGTTAACTGAGTTCACTATAAAGTCCACTATATAGTCCCCGCTTTATATAGTGATTGAGGGATTTAGGGGTTAGGGCGGACGCTTGGGCACAGTAAGCTTGTATGAGCTATGCATGCAGCAACATTTAAACAGAGCATGCATGAGGAGAAATGAGCTTGTGCATGCTCTCAAACATGTTCATTGGCGTTCCCTCTCATGAGCAAGTACAGGGTTGTGAATGTGCTTTTTTTTTTAAGTGGAGAGGGCAGGTCTCTTAAAAAATTTACAAAAATCCTCCTCAGTACCTTTAAGGTGCCAATAGTCGCTTTATCTAGGTTTTTTTTTTGCCCCCAATTTGATTAAAAATAATTTGTTTTTTTAATATTTTCTCTTATAGTTTGGACTTCAGAATGACAGTCTTACCCCCTGGGAGTGTAAATACTCCACAGTCTTGGTTAGCGTGCAAATGATGTCAGATGCATCCTTCTCTGTAAAATTTGGCAGCCTCAAAACTCTGTCCAGCAATTCATTCCCACGCATTACATCCAGAACTAAGAAAACACTTTGTCCATCGTCAAAGACCTACATTCAGAGGAAGAGAGAAGATGAAAAAACCTTTAAGTCAGATACGTTCTAAGAAAAAGGAGCAGCAGCCTGACATTCAATTTATCTTTATTCTTTTTTTCTTTTTACTCACATCTCTCAGTGTAATTATATTTGGATGCTGCCCATAGCGTAATAGTATTTCAATCTCATCTGATGGATCTTTCTTGGCTCTGTCAATAATCTGAATAAATAAATAGGAAGATACAGTTTGTTACAAATGACAACTATGTAACATTTTATGGGTATTTCTTGTAAATAGCCATCATCAGCATGTCAAAATTATTTTGCAGGTAGTTTTAACATTTTATAAGATGTTGTATAAATGAAGTGAGATTATTGTTTTCTGTATCAAAACCACCTTCAAAAAGTCTCTTTTTATGTTAGTTTAACTTTTTTTAGCCACACTGAACCATCCTCAAATATAACAAATCTCAGTAAAAAGAGTGTCTGAAATAATCATCATACCTTTACTGAATATTCCACAGCAGTAATTCTGTGCAGACATCTTTTGCAGACAAAGGCTCCTGTCTGTTTGACTTCTTCCTTTAGCTCATACACATCTTTGAATGCCACATCGCTCCGGATATGCTGTTAGAGAACACAGATCATAGTGTCATATTTAATATTCATTTAAAATAAAAATAAAAATCAGTTATCTGTCTGACTGAAATATGTGTTTTATATATTGTGTGATTTATCTTTGTCAAGTTGTAAATAGAATAAACTCTAAGAATTGCAGGCGCTCTGTGTCACTGGAGGTTTTTTGCTCAAAGCTACAAACCTGAGCTATTGGGTTAATGTTCACTTCCTGACGGGAAGGAACTACAGCAGCAACGGGGGCCTCTTGGTTTTGATTAGTTGCAACAAAACTGAAACCACGAAACAGTTGATGTGTGTTTGCACTTGGAGGAATCCCTGGAGAATCTGAAAACAGAAATTATACTCAAACATAAGTAGATATAAGATTTACAAGTAAATCTACCAATGTTAGGATACTTGCATTTATTTATTACTCCATTTAATCAATTGGACAGTGTTCCCTAAACACAGATTACTAAAATATAATTACATTCTAACAGATAAATGCTTTCCTGGGGCATAAGTGGTCAGAGCTGATGTTGTAGAATATTGTTTTCTGTTCTAGGACCTCTTCTAGAACCTGTAGAGATGATTTTACGAAGAGGAATCCCCAAAAATTTCCCTTTAGAAGACTTTTAAACAACTTTCAGTTAAAGGCTTGAATCTACAGAATATGCCTACATCTAACAACAGCTACAACAACATATGAGTTATTACAACATTTAATTTTCCTTGGGGATCAGTAAAGCATTTTTGAAATTGAATTGTTATGTCTATATGTCAATGCATGGGTCTGCATTACCTGTTGGTGTTCTTGAAGTGAACTCAGGGTCAAAATGGAAGGTGTCTTCAGGTCTTCCAACAGTCGGTTTGAAAGGAGGCCTCATCTCTTTCCTGAGCAGTTTCTACGGTAGAAAACAGCAATATTGCATCAACAACAATGGGCTTTACAACAGAAAGACATGCAACCTGTGAAACCATAGTATATTTAGAGGAAGATGTAAAATATTGGGACTATAGATTTTTATTGTACAATAGTCAAGTTGTTTTTAAAGAACAAAAACTGTTTTTTTTTAATATCAAAGAAAATATATTCCCCACATTTAAGTTAAACTATTTATGCTTGTCTAACCATAGTAAACACCACAATGGACAGAACACTACAGTATTTACCATTGACTTTTTTAAGGACGTGGCGGAAGAAAAAAGAGAGCACATATAGCAAGTCCTCACCACTGTAGAGGGCACTTTGACACACAGTTTAAGATCCCAAGAAGGTACTTTAACATGTGCTTTTACTCGTGAGAGGGCACTTTAGCACATAATATGTGTTTTGGCTTATAAGAGGGTATTTTACATGCACCTTTAACAGGTTTTGACTCCCAAAAAGAAACTTAAGCCCAGGTTTTGGACAAGGCCTATTTTAATGCCAGTTTAAAGGACAACATGAAGTACAGCAGTTAAGCAGTTCCACAACATGCTAAAAAGTAATTTGAGGTAAATAAGCCAAAATGAATTACAAAGCAATTAATATTGAATGATTCAAAAGGGATGAACTATGTTTATTGTACTGCCTGTTGAAAACTGAACATTATTATTCATGATTATGGCCTGTAGGTGTCACTAGTGCAACAGCTACTATGACTGGTTTTAGGGCGTATGGCTCTGCATTTTATTATATTTTCATATCTTTTTGAAAGTGATCCCTTAAAAATGCATTAAAAAAAGATGATATATTGAATGATCTAAAATAGTAGCAGGGAAACCCACCTGTCTCTCAGAGTGATGATTTATTTACATAGAGGAAACCATAAACCTCTTATTTTGAAAGCTCATGACATTATGCAAACGGTGACATATGAGAAAATGTGGCTGAAAGTCAACAGATGGTGATGAGGGGAAGAGTACTGGTGTGGTAGGAGAGATGAGCAAACAGAAAAAAGCAGAATGTCCTGATCAGTGCACTTGGCATCAGAGCCCCTTAAACTGGAGGTCCGTGATTGACTTTGTAGCCATTTCTTTTTAACCTTCAGACTAATGTTTTGAAATCTATTGAGGGTCTGCTGGTAATGTCTGGAGGAGCCCTCACTAAGGGACGTCTTCAAAAGCCAATTCAAGAAGAATTTTTCTGGAATGTTGGGGGCCGGCTAGTGACAAAGAATTCCAGTAGACCATCCTTCTGACTATGTTTGCTATGGCAGAAAGGTCTGGAATGTCTGTCACAGTGGTAACCCCCATTGGTAGACATCCTCAGTAAGAGATGCTGTTAAGATGAAGTTGAGCCTGGATGGCTTAGGCAAAACATGTAAAGCCATGAAGGAAAGTGATTCTAGCAAATTATCCCAGGCCTGTGAAGGGGAAACAGGGCTTAGCCAGCACTGTTTTCTGTAGTAGGTGGGGATTTAACAACCTTAAATGTAAGACAGTGACAAGAGTAATTTAAGATCTCATTGATCTAGCCATCATGCCTTATCTGGTGAAAGTGGAGACCTGGAACTCAGAGTTGTTTCCCAACTTGTTTATGTCACCTAGGCCGAAGTCACCTATGTAGTCCAAAGGCTCCATGGCGGTAATTCTTCACAGGTGGATTAGATCCACTCCATGTATTTCAGGTATCTAGATCTTGAGGGGCTATATAGGGTGGCATTTCACTTCAACAAAGTGAAAAAACAAAGAGACACATCTAAGTATCTCCCAGGGACTGTAAGACAGTCTCCAGTTATGATACAGCACGCTTTGAGATACTATATAAAGAAGATCTCAGTCAGGACAAGAGGGATTACAATGCAGAGAATGGTCCGTTTCAGGCAGTGCACATCAAACTAAGGATTTTAAAGCCCCATGATGGATGTGCATCATTTTCAAGTCATATCACAATAAGAAAACTCTCTGAGTGAAAGGCTTTTAAAGATAACAAACACAGTCAGATAAAAACGACAGAAGAAAACAGATTAAATGGAAGCTGCTTGCACCAGGACAGAATTTATTGAAAATGCTATTTAAAATAATTGCACATCATGTAATTTAATGCATTATTTGCAGCATTTTTCATGTCATGTAAAATGTGCTAAAGTATCTTATAATTATTTTAATGATGTCCAGTGTTAATTATCTTAGAATGCTGCTATTAAGTTAAACTTACATTCCAGTCAATGGACGCAAAGAAGCGGTGTTTCTTAATTTCTTCCACTCCCTCTGGTCCAGCACCTGAAAGACATGAATAAAAAATATGTAATTGTCTACAGCATAGAGGAAAACAAACACAGACATTAAAAAAATGCACATTTATACACCAATTTGTTATACAGATGACAAAATAAGAAAGACCCTCATAACTCACAAAGTCTTTGGAAAAATTTAACAGAGATCAAGGTAGCTATGAACAGGTTCTATACCACCTTAGAGTCTACAATATGTTCATTGTTTGGCTCGTTTCAGCACAATATGCTAATTTTAAATCAGTTAAAATATAAACATGTTTAAAACAATTGTATCACTTTGGTGTTAACAGATCAGTTATGTACAGAGATGTTTGAACAGCAGACCTAGACGGTTGGCAGGATTCCTCTTGAAGAGTGCTCTCAATAAACTCTGTACTTCAGGACTGAGGAACTGTGGCATTCCAAGCTTTGCCCTGGACAGACAAGACACATGTAGGTACAAACTGTACTTATACATATTAAAGTCTGATAGTATCCTACAGTAAAGAAAAAAATAAAAACTAAATTAGGACAGTTTCAAACAATGAAAGGGCAAAGGTGTGAAAATTGAGATAGAACAACAGGACATAACATCCAGTGATATAATAGCATGCTATTGCTATGGGCAATTATCTACAGCATCAAAGTCATAATTTTCTATTTTCTCCAGCATTTTTATTGTCATTACACTGTCACAAGTATGGAGCAACGAAATTCACTCCCTGCATTTAACCCATCCCCTTGGGGAACAGTGGGCTGCCATCGTGGGGCGCCCGCAGAGCAGTGTTGGGTTATGGGTCTTTGCTCAGGGACCCAGAGTGGCAGTCTATGAAAGTGGATTTCGAATTCACAACCTCAGGCTTCCAAGCTCTATGCCCTAACCAATAGACCACCACTCCCACTCATAATGTCAGTACATAGAGATTTCTTTTTACAACAAAACATCAATACAATCGTTCTTCAACTAATTGGAAGTTAGTAGAGATTGACAGATACAGCTTTCTAAGGCTGATGCCAATACCGACTATTTTCATATGACTTGATTTGATTCTTAGAGCTGATATTGCTCTTTTTTCCTCGATCTACTGTACATGAATTTTTTTTAGATATGCCTCAAATCAAACAAAACATTAACTATGGGCAGCTGATAGAGGGAGCAGCAAGGCATGCCCTTCACATGATATAAAGGCATGGCTGCCGAATGCACCAATGAATCTGCCAATGCCTGCACATATCGGCTGTACTGATACAAAAAAATCGGCTGGCTAATGTATCGGTCTATCTCTTTAAGCTGTTCAACATTTTTTTATTTGTTTAAATAGGTAGAAAATATGGTTCTTTATCCTTACTTTAAAATAAGTGCCATTGTTTCTTTCCGATCTTTTCCTTGAAATGGCAGGGATCCTGTCAGCATTTCAAACTGGAAAACAGAATTTTAAAA